GGGCACCACAAAAACTAGAAGAACTAGCTTAAAATAATGAAACAGCCACCTGGAACACCCTGGAGAAAAACGTATGAATCAAGGAATTACGAGCAAGAGAAGAGAATGGTAAAACAAATTTTAAAAAAAGGACTAACAAGGCAGATATCTGATCCTTTAAATGGTACTTGGAACACTGATCCACCCCAAGCTGATGTAAAGACTATTTGTTTTCTGCCAAAACTAGCATCAGAAGAAGCAGAAACATCAACTTTATAAAACTTAGCAAAAGTGTGAACAGAAGACCAAGTTAAAGCCTTGCAATTTGAGTAACACAAGCTTGATTCTGAAATGCCCAAGAAGTACTAACTGCCCTAGTAGAATGAGCAGAAACAGGAAAGAGGAACCATATTCTGCAACTCATTGAATGACAACTTGATGAATCCACTGATGAATGAAATAGCAGATCTAAAAGCTAAACAACCTTTTCAAAAACCTTTAAGTAGAACAAATAAAACGCCTAAAGGGAGCTGTGGCTGACAGGTAAACTCTAACAGCTTGCACAACATCCCAACAATGAAGAGAAATCTCCTTAGGATGAACAGTATCTGGACAAAGTAACGGTAAAACAATGTTTTCATTGAAATAAAAGGCAGAAACCACCTTGGGTTAAAAGGAAACCTGCGGTCTTAAAACGCCCTGGTTTTTATGAAAAACAAAACAGGGTTCTCCACAAGCGTACAACTCGGAAATCCTTCTAGCCAAGGTAATGGACACAAGAAAGGCAACCTTTTTGAATAATAACAACAAAGAAATGACCCGGATAGGTTCAAAATGAGGTCTTTTATAGAACAGATAAAACCAAGTTCAAATCCCATGGAGGAAGAGGAGACCTAACAGGAGGAGCCACAAGTGGAACTCAATGAAAAAAAAGACTGACAAGGCACATATCTGACCCTTTATGGTACTTACTTAGAACTAGACGTTGATTCACCCCAAGTAGAAGGAAAGACAAAATTCATAATTAGGAAAAAGGCATGTGGTGAAAACCCCATGGACTCACACCAACGAAAATAAACCATAATTACATTTTCTATGGATTTAGACTTCCTGTTACATGAGTGGCCTCTGGTGGCCACTTTTATTATTGCAATGGGAATAGACTTCCTGTCACATGGACATAGACTTCCTGTCACATATGACAGTTTCCTGTTTGGAAGAGATATAAGGAGAGTAACAAGTAACCTCAGTACAAACCTCAGTACGTCTGCACTTTCTTGAAAAAGTCTTTGTACAAAACGCGTCAATAGAAGTAGACACGCACTAAGGTTGGAACACTAAGTTAGAAGGATTTTATTTTGTGCTTATTCGACTGGCTTGTTCATGACGGATTGGAATATTTTTTGAAAAAGCGATTGTTTCTGGAAATCTTGTAAGTGTTTTTAAAGGTTTTTTTTAAAATAAAAAACAGTTTTTGGCATATTACACTATGTGTTTATTATTCTCTCTAGGGAACGGATACGTTTTTTAAACGACCACACCTGAACCTGAAAGAGCACAGAGTCGAGGAGGAAGTTCCTATTGCGAGTGGAGGAGTAAATATTCACTGCGATTGTGATCCGGGATTGTTAAGCCTCTTTGAATATGGAAGTCTGGTGAGTGCGGTGCTTGTCACAGTCACCGGGAGTTTGCACACTACAGCTATAAGAAGGACTTATCACTGATGTTTTTTTACATCTTGGAACTTTGTCAAATTTTTTTTTTGCATCAATTTATGGTGGACTTTAGAATTACCATTTTGCACCTAATCTCTACTGGAGCTATTACAATGAGACACATTTTATTATTTATTCATTATATTGGTTATACGTGATTTATTTCATATTTAGCACTATATTATTCACGTATTATGATTATTGATTAGCGCAGTGCATCTGTTTGATCTATTTATACTTTTAGCACGGCAGCTTTTCATCTTTTATATTTATCACTTTGAGACCGCTTCCATAGCGCAGAATTTTTTTATATTCATAAAGCTGTTCACAGTCTTGCTGAAGAATGCTGTTTCAGGTTCCCGTTGGCCATATAATTAAAAGTCTAGGCACGTGGTCATGTGATCTCAACTGAAGACCAGGTTTAAAGGTGGCCGATTTCTCAGTTTGGATGAATCGTCCCTTCACCAGGGATCATGTGGCCAATAAACAAGGCCTTTAACTAAGTGGCTAGCATTAACAGAAGCCTGGATCTGCATTTTCCAGTAAAAATATGAATTTGAGTCCTTCTATTATTCTTCATATATCCATCCTTTAGATTTACTAACAACAACGTGAGAACCTAAAGGTTGAACGCAGATTCTTTAGGCAAGATCTCACAATACACAGTTGTAAGTGATGGCAAAAAAAAGATAATACAGAGATTGAACAACCAGAGTGTAAAATGTGTGGCCAGCTTAGATGTGGTAAATCCTGAGGGATAAGTGGCATCCTTGTGGTGCAGCACTGCCCTTGGCAGTTTCCATCATGATACTATGTGCATCTTACCAAGTCGGTATGGGTTTCCTCATATAACTCAAACACATACTGGACGGTAAAATAGCTTCTGTATGATTGTAGTTAATACACAAAAAACTGTAATCTCCTTTAAAGGCAAAGATTCATGTGATATATGTATTATAATGTATTTGTATAGCTTAACATCAGGATCCTTTCATCGAAAAAAAAAACTGTATCTATAGTTGTCATCATGAAGCATCATATTGCACTTCATCTCACTGACTATAAGGTTAAACTCTAAAGTTCTCATGTTTGCCTTTATAAATATTTCATAAAGCATGAAGTTCAGCAAGATGCATACACTAAACTGTTTCACACTGAAAGGCACTGTTAAGTCAAGCAGCAAATGTTTTCACAAACAAGTATGTTTAAGGAGTTCATTTTAGTGAACAAGCTCAATGTCTGTTAGCTAGCAGTACCTGAGGCTGTGTAAACTTTTACTGAGTGCCATGCTACAGCAGGTAGTCAGTCCAGCCCTCAAGATTGCAGTACTGGGGCTTGCCCCCTCATGTTTTTTGCCATTGGTTAGTGAGAGCATTTATCCCAATGGTGGGTTAATAACAAGGTGTGGATGAGGCAAGCCCTAGCACTGGACTGTGAAACCCAGGAACTCTAAACCAAAGCTACATTGCGACAAGGGTGTCAAAAAAGAATTCCAAATCAAGCACTAACCTCTTCCACAGATACTGTAGAGTCTAGATGCAGGTTTGGTAGTCTTACTACCACAGTTCCTTCATTTGTTTTCAATCTGTATTCTCTAGCTTCTGGAGTTTGAAAGAGGTCAGTGCAGATGTCAAAGTTTTCTAAAGCCTGTTCCATGTCCCCCTAAATAGAAAAAGCGACCATAGTAAAAAATCAGTACATGAAACAATACAAGCATATGTCAATCAACTGACCTGCAGAGCCAATAATCTTGCTTTCAGCCAGTACACTCTCACTACATAATTGAGCCAGCCATCTGGAAACAGGTCACGTTGAGAAGCTGCAAAACCCATCATCATCTGATCCTCCACAAAGTGAGATCCAGAGAACTCGTTTCCAAAGCATTCTCCAGTAACTCCAGCAGGAAACTTCCAAGGAGATGCTACAAAAACCAAGTACGTTGCTATTACATATATCTATACAAATGTGTCATGACATGAAAATATGACCATGCATGTGCACAAAACAGTGTTTCATCAATACCTGTGCCATTCTTTACTTTAGACAGAAGCCATTGGTCCAGCTGAAGCTCCATGCAAGTCAAACTCATAACCATCATGTCCTGTTAAGAGCAGTGAAGAAGAGGGATTAGTGACTCTTATTTGCCAGTCAATAAGTAGCCAGCCACTGAAATGTAGAGGAAATATTTATAAGGTATATTATATCAAATACAATAAAGAATGAGCTTCAGTCGACCTTTGTTAGTGTAACCAGCCTTCAGAAAGATTACATTAACTTGTAATGTAGTGGGCAGCCCTTTGTCCTACTTTTATTAAAGTGACATTAAACCCTCAGATTTTTTAACATAAACCAATACTGTAATGTGTGCCTTACTGTAATCCATGGTTGTTTCCCTTCTCTTTGCTGCTCTTCCTTTTAAATCCTCATGTCTTCTCATGCTTGGGGAGACCTTCCCTTTTCAGCTCAGGGCCTCTTCCTGTAGTGCTGGCTCAGGTTACAAGCCTATACAAATGTATACACAGACACCGTGTATCCATTCCTGAGACAAGGCAGTCTGCTGCAAAACAGAAGAAGTTCTGCCCAGCATGAGAACAGATACAGATTTAAAAGGAAGAGCAGCAAAGAGAAGGGAAACAACCATGGATTACAGGAAGGCACACATTACAGTATTGTTTTATGTAAAAAAATCTGAGGGTTTAATGTCACATTAAGGCACTGTCCACATGGAGCTCTCTTTCCCCTTCAGGTCCTCCTCTGCTGATTGACAGCAGGCAGTGGGTGGGTGCAATAGCCAGCCTGCTATTGGCTAGTGCAATTTAAAATAGCCTATAGCAGACTGGCTATTGTTTCCAGCCGCTGGATAGGAGACTTGATGCCGGCTTTCTACCGCCGGCAGAAGAGGGGGGCAGGGGGGAGCAGCGGAGGCACGGGCCACAGCAGGTGGAATGGGGCACAGCAGGAGAAGAACAGGGCACAGAAGCAGAGGAACTAGGCACAGCAACGGAGGAACGGGGCACAGAACAAGGCACGGAAGGTGGAACGGGGCACAGAACAAGGCATGGCAGGAGAAATGGTGCACAGCAGCGGGGGAATGCAGAAGCATACCGGTCTCCACCCCCCGCTGGGCACAGGCTGCATCGCTCTGTGTCACCTCTAATGGAAGGGGATACAGACCGCAGCAGTTCCCACCGAGGAGGAGAACGGAGGAGCAGAGCGGCGGTGGCAGGGGGTAATTCAACCAATCGGAATCAACCGATTAGTTGTTGCAGCCCTATTACAGTAACAGCTACAACTTTGGCCCTTACAACATTTTATCCCCAACAAAGGGCCCATAACACACTGTATGAAGTATTTAGCTCCAAATTTAATTGGAAGTGTAGCTTTAATGACTGGATCACAGCCTGGGACCTCTTTCACTTTACATTTTTAAACTGGCTAAAGACCACTAAGGGCTATATGTGGCCAAAAAACACCAGTTTATCATAACTTCCTCAAATTGGTGTACCTCAGAAACATTTACAGCTGCCCTACTTACCCGAATGTGCTGGTTGTTGCAGTCCCTGAGAAGTGGGTTGGGCAGCCCACTACTGTGCTTTCGCCAACTAATGTATATATTAAGCACAACATCTGCAAGACCTGGAGGCCACTTCACCAAGAATTTCTGAGCAATCATTTTCAAATATCTCATCAAGAGCTCCAGAATACCACCATTTTCCAGATTATACAACAAAAATTGGTGCACATCTTGCTTCTCTGTAATGACAGTATAGGAAGAATGACAACAGGGATGGTCAGAAAGAAATAAGAAAAATAATACACATAGTGGCTCCAAGAAACAAGCCAGATCTTTATTCACAATCTTGTATGTGTACCCAACGTATATTTGCAATGGATTAAGAAAAGTAAGCATGCATCTCTAATAAAAAAAACAACTTGTTACCAGGGCCAGATTTACTCTCTCTGCCGCCCCAAGGCCAGGTCCTGTGATGCGCACCACCCAAATATTTTTTCTTTTCTTACTCTACTGTTTCTTAATTTTTTTGAACTTTTTT